AAAAAGGAAAAAAAAAAAAAGGGGGAGGAAAGGGGGGGGGGGCCAAAAAGAACAAAACAAAACAAAACAAAACAAAACAAAAAAAAAAAAGTTCAAAAAGAGAAGGGGAAAAAGGAAAAAAAACAAGATACATTTTCAACTGAAAGAACCACAGTTACTACTTCAGAAACGTCTTAGTATAAGGAATGTTAAGATATATATAGAGCAATGAGTTTTAAAAATGTAAATTTAAACACGTCCATTTTACCTCATCAAACTCTTCAGTCATTTTTCGAATTATTTCTGAATTTTGCATATGTCGAAACATCTCTGCTGTTACAACCCCTAGAAATCACAGAACGGGAACACCATGAAATCTCAAACCTCAAAGGATTAAAAAATGTTGTTCAGGCAATAACACCACAAAACAAAGTGTCATTTTCTGACTGAAATGTTTAAAATGCATGGGTAGGAATAACTGTAATTTGATAGTTCTACGTAGGCAACTCTTTTAAAAGTGATGTAGATTTTTTTTTTTAATACACATCATGCATCAGCAGGCTCCCAGTCTCTGAAAAGCCAGAATACAATTGTAAATTTGGAGGGGAAAACCCCCCAATATATTCAAGTAGTTGAAAAAAGTGGGAAAAGAGACATTATAAAGGAATTGCGAAAAGTACTATTTATTATGGGAAGTTCTAGTCGTAATGGGATAGAATACTAGCAAATAAGAGACGTGAAGATTTTTTAAAATGAAATTAATATGGAATAAAACTCACCCCCAAATAGAAATCTTACCTTTGCAACCTGAGCATTGAATAAAGAAGTTGATCAGGTCAAGCAGCGCTATATCTCTATCATGTTTGTAGGATTCTATCCAGTCATCCACCACAGACTAAAATAATAAAGCCAACGTTAAATTAGGGATGCTTATTGTTACTCTCTATCTACAAACACACAATCATCCCCAAACTCTTCTTTTTTATTTTTATTGACAAACATGTAAGATACACACACACAACAGTTAGACGTACACCACGTTTATACAATACAATACGAACAGNAGCACCCCAGGAAACCACCTCTCATTCACTTAATGCAGTGTTTCTCAACCTTGGCAACTTGAAGATGTCCGGACTTCAACTCCCAGCATTCGCTGGCTGGGGAATTCTGGGAGTTGAAGTCCAGACATCTTCAAGTTTCCAAGATTGAGAAACACTGACTTAATGGCTGTTTTATTATTTCTGCTCTTTGAAGATAGTTATCAAACTGCTGCATTGAAAAACTGGATGGTTTAGTCTTTGCATCGGTTTATTCCTCCCACTCCAAAATAAAACTCATATCAAGAGTTTCAATGATGGTTTGAAGGTTCATCTCTTTCTGGAAATGTTTCTTTCTAGAGCAGGAAATAGTTTCTAGTCTTCTCACACAGAGGAAATCAGGGCCCGCTTTGAGGTTAACTGTCCATTCCGTAAAGCGATTATGAAGCAAATTTAACCTGCTGGTTTTGGGAAGCCTGACCTTGCTGTTCCAGAGACTAAAAAACTGATGATGGAGGCTTCACTTGGGCTAAAAGTCAATTGTAACATCCTTCTGTCCTTGCAGAGCAATAGCTTTTTTTTTTTCCATCGAAGGGATGCTGGGGTGGGTTCTTGACAAGTTTCACAAGGAGACGCATTTTATTTTGTTAAATTTATATTTCAAAGAAATAGAGCAGCGTCTCTCAAGCAGTAGTTTTCCACCTGAATGACTTTGCATAGCAAGAGCAAGCAGTTAAAGGAGGTATCTTAAGACAAGCTCAGCAGGTTGGCCAATTCTTTAATTTTTAACTTTAAAACTACCTGGGTTTATCCCTGTTTAAAGAAAACCGAAGAGAAGGATACATATGGAAACGTAGGCTAAATAAATAAATAAATCACCCCCAAGTCGTTTTCTCTTAAGACTCCTAAACCTAAATTCTTTTCAATGAAAATATTTCAAACAAATCTAGGAGGATTTGACAGTTGGGATTGACTTTCAGCATTTTTTTTTTAAAAAAAGAAATCAAGCCGATGAATGTTTTACCTGCCAGTGTGCTAGTATGTCGAAATGCCCTGACTTGAGAATCTGATAGTCCTGTAAGTAGTGAAATCACGGTATCCATCATGTATTCGTCATATATGATGCTATACTGACACTGCCGGACCAACACGCCAATGAACTCACAAAAACTTGATTTAAATTTCTTCCACTGGGGACCAGCCATGGTGAGCGGATAATCCCCACTGTCCTAAAATACAGAAGGTGTCAATTGCACAAAAAGCATTGCATTATCTGGCTAATTAAAGTAAAAGGTTAAAATGTCCCAATGAACCCAGAGAGATCTTATTCATCTTCCACACGGATATGTATCTCACAACAGACAAGATTTGTATTTTAATTGCATTTCCCCCCCAAAACATTATTTTACCCTTTTGTTTGTAGACCAGAACAAAGGCAACCAGAAAGTAATAAAAAAAGTTAATGTAAAAAAGTTAAAAATGTGTAGGAAGTTAATGGACGCTTAGCGACCACTCCCACGGTAATTTGATCCACATTTATGACTGTTTTCAAGATGCCTTGGTCACATGACTGCAATTTATGATATTTTCTGCAGGGAAACCAGCATTTACAAAAAATGCCAATTGCAGACAATGGATTTGCCACTGTAGTGTTTAACAATCACAGTGGTTTACTTAACAGCTGCCAGAAAAAAAGGTCATAAAATTGGGTGCAATCACATGGTGACTCTTTTAACGACCAGCATGACTTCTAACCATAATTCTGGCCTCAATTATGGTCATATGTTGAGGACTACCTGTGTACAGAATTTTCCAATGATTTTTCCTATACATCCTGTTAATAAATATGTTCTTGAAAGGGAAGTGCTAAGTTGAAAAGATACTCAGCTACTTGAAACATTATCACTGTTGCAATGAACTGAGATTTCATCTGCCCTCCAGAGTTAATTCTTCACCTCCATAAATCCATTTAAAAAACAGTTGCAGGAACAGAAACCACAAAAACAAGATACATTTTCTTTTCTTTTTTTTAGATTATTTTTATTTTTTGGTTACATAGACAACAATGGGAAAGGGAGAGGATGGAGAGAAAAAAAAAAAAAAAAAAAAAGAGGAAAAGGGGGGAAGAAAAAAAAAAAAAAAAAAAAAGAGGGGGGGGGGGAGGGAAAGCCCATCTTCACAT